GCAAAACATATAATGTATAGGGGAGGGGGCAGGGCCGGATTTACTCTCTCTGCTGCCCCAAGGCCATCTTTCTCGTGCACCCCCTGCATGACAACCCCCCAGGGAAAATGGCAGACCTGAAGGCTGCATACAAGTGATCTCGTCAACATCACTGAGATCACTTGTACAAAACAAGCGGCGGCTTCCCTGCTTTACAACTACTAAAACAACCGGCGCCTGGAACTGCATGTCCCATGGCATCGGAAGATAGGAATTCCACCCCCCTGCTGCCCCTCTACTCCCTGCTGCCCCGAGGCCGGGCATTGGTTGGCCTTGTGGGAAATCCAGCCCTGGGAGAGGGCAGTTGAATGGGGGGTATGGTGACCATGGGGGGGTAGTTGCGGATTAAATGCCTGGTGTTCCGCTATATTGATGAAATCCGGGGGAAAATGCTGCTCTTGTCTGCCGAGTCTCGCTGCTTCACCTCTACGCGGCAATAGAACAATGTCTGAACATTTGTAATTACACCATTTTATTACTCTTGGCCTCGAGGTTGTAACAATTAAAATAATTCTTCCCATTTTTCATCTCCAAATCAGTTTCCGCGTCGGCTTCCTGCGCGTGCCGCGGTGGATTTTTGCATGTTCGAAGCTGCAATGAGGCCGATCGCACTTCGTATCTTCCGCACTGAATCCGAGTTGTGATAATTTATGCCGCGTGAATGCATCGCTGGTGTTTCGTGGTATTTACCGACTTTTGTATTAGGTGTTTTTCTGTTTTATCATTAATTGCCGGTAATTAGGCTCACCGGGGACGTTTGCCGGCACTGCCATCCTAATACCGAAGACACGTTGGTGGAAAAGTGATTAATTAAAATACCGACCGCCACCGGCCATCCGCACTGTTCTGACGCATGAAGTAAAACATTGGTTATGTTGAGGGTTTGGGAGCTGTTCAAGTACAAAAACATCAATTTAAATATATTGCCTAATAGCCACAAAGGATACAATCCACTCTGTGTGCACCAAATCACTCTCCGAAGCCAGATTTTGCCTTGCATCATCACTGTGTGGTACATAGCCTGTGAAGAGAGCAGAAATGTGGGAGGGACCCAGCAGGCCCCACCCACTTCAGGCACCTGCAGAAAATGACAGGAGGGGCGGAGACAATACCAGTCACTCTACAAAAGGAGAGAGAGCAGCAGTGACCGGCCTTTATTACAGGAGGGGGCGGAGACAAGACCAGTCACCCTGCACAAGGTGAGAACGCAGCAGTGACCGGCCTTTATTACAGGAGGGGGCGGAGACAAGACCAGTCACCCTGCACAAGGAGAGAGAGCAGCATAAACATTGGTTATGTTGAGGGTTTGGGAGCTGTTCAAGTACAAAAACATCAATTTAAATATATTGCCTAATAGCCACAAAGGATACAATCCACTCTGTGTGCACCAAATCACTCTCCGAAGCCAGATTTTGCCTTGCATCATCACTGTGTGGTACATAGCCTGTGAAGAGAGCAGAAATGTGGGAGGGACCCAGCAGGCCCCACCCACTTCAGGCACCTGCAGAAAATGACAGGAGGGGCGGAGACAATACCAGTCACTCTACAAAAGGAGAGAGAGCAGCAGTGACCGGCCTTTATTACAGGAGGGGGCGGAGACAAGACCAGTCACCCTGCACAAGGTGAGAACGCAGCAGTGACCGGCCTTTATTACAGGAGGGGGCGGAGACAAGACCAGTCACCCTGCACAAGGAGAGAGAGCAGCAGTGAGCGGTCTTTATTGCAGGAGGGGGCGGAGACAAGACTAGTCGTCCTGCACAAGGAGAGAGAGCGGCAGTGAGCCGTCTTTATTGCAGGAGAGGGCGGAGACAAGACCAGTCACCCTGCACAAGGAGGGAGAGCAGCAGCGACCGGTCTTTATTACAGGAAGCTCCAAGTCTCACACTGGATTACTGCACAGATCTGGAAAAAAAACCTGCAAAGATCATCAAGATTCAAGGAAGAATACACATATGTTCCTATGTATGTACGTGGGGTGGTTTAAAAAAAATTGGGGGGAGGCCCTCAAAAAGGGGGAGGCCCCAGGTGGTTCATGTTGTCCGGATGAATAAGGTTGCCAACTTTTAAATCTTTTTTTATGCAGTGCAGCCAGTTTCTCCCTTTTGATTTGTGCTGTCAGCACAGCATCGGACTCCCTACTGGCGCTCAGCCCCCCGATCTTTCATGCCAGTGATCCGAGGGGTCGGGAAAAGCACCACCCATATTTTTGCATGCTTTATGCATTGACTTGTACTCCAATGATATCCTATTTGGTTGTTACGACTAATGAGCAGTTGCAGATAATGAATGTGAGTTATATTCAGGGTCATATCTGAAAGTCACTCCGCAGATACAGAGATTTCCTCCCACCAGTTAAAGGCTCCAGCTAAAAATAATCCCAAA